AAGAAACATACAGCTAACAGAACGTTAAAAGACAGACATTTCCACTATAACTGAAATTCTTATTCAAACAAATGCAACAACTGGAGAATTTTTTAAAAAATGTGAAAACTGGAGAATTTTAAACACTGATAATATATTAAGGAACTATTGTCAAATTTTTGTTGTGATACTTGTATTGCGGTGGTTTTCTTTTTTTTTAGTGTCTTGAATCAATCTTTTCTCCATGTGGTTATATTTCATCGATTTGATAATTAGGCTCCTTATTCTGTTTGTATTTAATTTTAGGGTTTTCTTTTTTTTCTTTTTAATTTTTATTTTTTGAACATGTGGAGCATTTATATGGTTCAAAAGTCAAAACTATATACAAAGATATACTGTCCAATAAAAGGGTCTGGACGCAGTAACACAGAACAGGCACTGAAGATACCTAGCACTCAGAGCATGACTCCTAAATAAAAATTCTCAATACATACACACACATATACATACATACATACATACATACATACATACATACATACATACATAAAAGTTCTCTGTATAAAGAAGCAGCACTCCATGGAGAAATGACACATTCCATGTCTGGAGCTGGGAGATACAAGGTAAGCCTGTACATCTCTGTTCTGATAGCAAAAACGTGCTCAAAGACTAATGGGGATAGAGAGGAACCACCTGGAAGGAGCTCTACTCACTAAAGAGTGACAATATGAGCATCAACAAGAATAATGATGAATAAGACCAAAACAAAAATCAGTGAATCTGGAGTGATATCAGAGGAAAAGGGTGTGTGTGAGAGTGGGGGTGGGTGGGGAGGGAGGGGCATGGCTCTTCTTTACAGAAGAAAGCCAGCTAATAAATATAGAAGGAATAAAAAAATGTGAAAATCATAGTTTTGCAACCCTCAACACAATAGTTGGTTCAGACAAGTATTATCAATGGATGCTAAAGACACTGGGTGAGTGAAAGGGTGTTAGGAACAAAACATCTCAAACGGAAACACAATAATTTATCACCTTGATGGTATTCCAGCCAATAATCTACACTTGGGATAAAAACTGCATAACTAAATGCATATATAACTATACATACAAATGAATGCATGTAAAATTGGGGAAATTTGAATTCAACTTTTTTATAGATTTCAACTTAACCTATTTAGTTGTAGAATATTTAATATAATATATATTGAAATTTTAAAATATTGTTATATAATTCTCCCAATTTTTCATTTACATTTTATACTTATATCATGGAATCTTGCATTATATATGTATACACATATATGTATAAAATTTTTATAAGGTAAAATAAAAATTTTCTGCTATTGAAAAATCAGTACCCAAATAAGAAAACTGAGACATGAAGCATGGAGAAAAATTTTAATTTCCTTATCTTGAAGCAGGTATTTTATCCTGAATTGTTGGTAATAGCCTAATGATTTTGTTCTGGTTTCCCTGATTTTAAGATGTGTTTTTAGTTTCTTGTTGAGCTTGTTGCTTTCTTTATGACTCTGTCTTGAGGGAAAAAAGTTCATTCCAAGTAGAAAATTGTAATTTTTAAAATAAAAGAATCAAACACAAAATGTGTATATTGTTTCTGCTTGGAATTTACACTTTTGGATATTTTCAAATAATTTTATCATTTGGTGAAGTGACAGAGTACACTCTCTACACTGCAGGTTAAAGATGAATAACCCAAGAGTCCAAGATGGGACAAAAGATACAAGGATGGTTAGATTGAGAGAAAGATAGACACTGTGGAATTGGAAAAGAATTTATGTAAATGTGACTCAGGTACTTTGCCACTTGTATTGACCTTTTCTACTATTGGATATAAAACAAAACCTGAAGAAATAGAAGTAAGCTATGTTAACAAAGGTCAAGTATTCGAAACTGAAAATATATATTTAAAGTAGTGTTGTTCTATAGCCTAGTTCTAGATTGTTGATATTAGGGGATGGGAGAGAACAGTCTGGATTGTAAAAAAAAAAAAAAAAAGTTAAATTCATAAAGAAGAATGAATTTTCAAAAATAGTCAAGAAAGTCTTACAAAACAATGAAAAATTTTATGGAAAGAGACAAATAGATCAGTAGGACAAAAGACAAGACCCAGAAATGGATCCAAGAATATCTAAAGCATTAATATGTGATAAAAATACAATTTCAATTTAATGCAAAAAGTATGCTACATCATAATAAATGGCTTGAAATATTTAAATGGTTTCTGGAAAAAAACTCATCTAGAACCACACCATATGCCATGTAGAAATACATTTGAGAGTTCTACTTTTAATAATGAGAGACTTGGTCATTAGGACCAACCTCCCCCTGGCCTGCTCGCCCCCACTTACACACACTAAGAACAACTAGAAAAGTTTTTAAAATGTTTTCACATCTCTTTGAAGGGATCAAGATCTAACAAAACAGTTAAGAATAAAATTACTAGAATACCTACACAGATAATCATGAAGTAGGGACTTTCTGACCTTGCTTCCAAATGCTATAAAGTCCAAAGCCATAGGACAAAAGACTGATAAACTAGACAACAAGAGTAATTTCTTCATGGGGAATGAATACCATGAGCAGTTACCAAAAGACAAATGATATGCCAGAAAATAATGGTTTGCAATTCGTATAACAAACAAGCGTTATTATCTCTACTATATAAAAAGCAAACTAGAGAGTGGGCTGGGGGGAGAAACCTAAAAGAAAAATGGGCAAAAACTTTTTTTCTGGACAGTGCCCAGAAAAATAAATACAAGGCATGCCTAGACACATGGAAAGATATTTTAACCATACTCATAGTGAAGAAAACTGCAGATGCAAACTATATGGCATACCACTTTTTACTTATCTGTTGCCCCAAATCCAAAAGTTGAACCACATATTCTATGGTAGAAGTTATGAAGAAACAAACACTCTCATGCATTCCCAATGGAAATATAAAATGAAACTCTCTCTAGGACAGCCAGCCCCACTAAGCCAATCAATTCTGGGAATTCATCTAATTGATAAACCTATGCTTACAAAATTACATAAGCACAAGGGTATTCGTGGTCTGTAAGAGAAAAAGGTTGAAAGTAGTTTAATAAACTTGGACATCTATGCCTGAATTACCACGCATTGTGTGATAAAGAAGCAATCCATGTTCTGTTACAGAAATCTCTGGGACACGCAAAAAAGAAGAATAAAAAATAGTGGCTTGCTATCAAAGGGTGGTTCCCTAAGCAACAGAAATGGCTTCAGCTGGGAGCTCATTAGAATGTCAAAATTGAGGGCTCCATCCGTATCTACTAAATCAGAATCTGCATGTTAACAAGATGCCAGGAATGTACAGGAGCATTTCAGTTTGAGAAGCCCTAAGGATAGTGCATTCCCTTTTGAATAAAGGGAAGGGGGTGTATAAAGAATGCACACATAATTTCTCTAAACTAGATAAACAAACACTGGAAGGGTATACAAACTAGAAAAAAAATCCGTAGAGGCCGAACATACTCTTCAGGTTGTCTGGCACTGTCCCAATATATGCGAGTTGTCCCAGCATAATAACCTATAGAATCTCTTTCACATTCAACGAAAACATCTTGATTCTGAGGATAAATAAATGTCACCCTACCTAGAGGAAGCAGCAGGAATGCAGAGGAAAGGAGTGTGAATTTTTACTTACATCTTTTGTTATCACTTTTTAAAACATGTTAATATATTACTAACTCAAAAACATTTTATTAAGAAAAAAAACAAAAGCCAAAAAAAGCCCCACATGAAACCAGTCAGGAAGAACAGAGAAGAGCAGTGTGCCAAGGATGGAAACCCATGACTAAGCAATCTTTGGGGCAAAAGGAGAAGACACCTTCATGAGGCATAGAGAGGAAATCAGAGTTAGGAAAGGAGAGCTCGAGGTGTGGTGTCACAGAAAATGACACAGGCAACTTTCAAAACAGAGAGTGGTTAGTATCAAATGCTGCAGAACTATTAAGTAAGGCAAAGACAAAAATATCCATTGGCCTTGACTACGATTTGGTGGCCTTTTCCGGAACTGACTGAGGTGAGTGGTGGTGATCAGGCAATGCTGCATTCATCAGATTGAAATAAAAACGAAAAATGCAGAAACATTAAGCTAGAACTATTGTTGGAGTGAGCAGGACTGAAGCCATGTTGGGACTTAAAACCACATGGGCTCTAAAATATTTTTAAAAGACACACTTTTTTCTCTTGGCATACATTCTTCTGAGTTCCATCTTTTCCCACGTTATTTGATATTCCGAACCTTGGTTATGGGGCAAGATGACATTATTTACATGAATATAAAGTTGTTTTCCAGCCAGCCTGAAGCTTCATGCTTGCATGTACCACCCAGACCCTGAGAAAAGGACAGGAGCAGAAAGCAGATGGAGCCTTGCTGAGACCTTGCACCTGAGACCTTGCATGAAGCCCTCGCTGCTCACATGCCCTTCCCTCCTGCTTTCCATTTCCCATCTTCCATTCCCTCATCCCCTGCTTTAAAAACTCCTGAATAAAACTGACTCTTTGAGATGGCTTTAGCCTGGCCATTCTCCTTCAGGTTTACCAGAGATGGGTTAGCTGAACATCTCTCCTCAGGTCACTGGTATTCCTGAACAAAAGCTACTTCCATTTTCACCACCATTTGAGTTTTGGGTTGTTTTTTTGTCTGGGGGCAGGCAGCTAGATCTGAGTTTGTTAACAATTTTGGCAAGTCAAGCTAGGAGCTGAGTGACCCCTGTAACAATTTTGACAAGCCAAGCCAGGAGCTGAGTGGCCTTTGTAACACTGTCTGCAACTCAACCTAGAAATACAAATTCAGTAAAACTAAAATTCCTGCATCCAATTTCACCAACTGCCCCACTTTGGATTTGTTACTACCTTTATTTCCCTTAATGTAAATTTTTGCCTATTTCTACTTTTCCATTTTAAAAACATGAATCCTTAACAAGTTCAGAAAACCTACTTTAAAACAAACTGGGAATAAAGAAACAAACTCACCTGGAATTTGTTCATTTTCCGCTCTTAGTGGAGGAGGGAGAGCTGAAGAAGGAAGGAAGAAGGATGTCAGGAGAGACTCAGCCTGCCTTGCAGTTCCTGAATTCACCTGCCTATCCAGCTCCACACAGGAGATACTTACGTGTCCATGTGTGGCTCCAATATATGTTGAACTTAGACATGATACTTTTCACTGAGTGAATGTAAACATTTGTTTCTTACTGATTTATTACCAATTTAGGTTCTGTGACACAGAAAAATTAAAAACATGAAAAGATGAGTTTAACAAATAGCAGTAATCTAAAGGAAGAAACAGTATGGATTTGTCAAAACTAATGTTGTCGGGGGAAAAAATCCTCAGGCTTTATTCATCTATTTACCTGCTAACACCATTAAACCCCTTCAGGTCAGATAATCCAAGAAACCTCTAAAAAACGGATGAGGTGTTTAAGGCAAGATAAATGTTTAAAAATTGTCTGTTCTAGCTGTTTACAATTTATCAAAAGGATATTTCCATAAGAAACTTACTTTGATCTAACAGTGGTAAAATGGAGGCACTAGCTAGGGAACCTGCAGACCTGACTTCTAACCTTACAAGTCCATGATCTGAACCAGTCACCTTCTCAGATTCAACTTTTCTCCCCCCATCTTTCAAAGTAAGGTCGAAACAACCCAAAAAGAACCTGCCTGCATTGCCATCCTCTGGGTCTACAAGGCCAGGAGAGCAGGAACCTCAGCAGCTCTCTAGATGCCACCCTTGGATGGGACACTAGGAGCAGCTCACCTCGGTCAAGAGTGAATGGGATATGAGGGGTAAAACGGATGTTTAGGGGTGATGACGGCATTTTCTTAACTGTGGCTGGTGGGCCTTTCGCCCCCGACCATGCCTTAACTCTCCACAGAGGTGACATGCCCTGTGCGGCTGCGTGCCCGTCCCCTTCAGCTCCAGCTCACCTCTCTCTTCTTAAACCTGTCCCAGACTTTCCACCGGCACACAGCCTTCGATGGCTTCAGGATACTGTGTCATGATTATATACAATAAACAACAAATGAACACATAACAAATAAACAATAACTCTGGATATAGGCAATGACAGAGCCAGGAAAAGGAAAAAGCCTAAACTAGGCCAGCCCCTTCCCCCTCCCACTTCACGACCACGGAGGCCCAGGCGAGCGGCCCAAGCTCCGCAGCAAAGGCGTCCCAGAGTACTGTGTGCTATATGCACAGCAAAAAAATACCGGAGCAGCTAAAAAAAGATCAAAGTGCCCCAAACAGCCCCAAATGGCATTTTACAAAGAAGGAAGCCGAGTCTCCCCTCGACTATTTCCACCGAGTAATTCATTCACACCGGACCTGGCGCCATCATCCCACCCTCGCAGGGCCCCGCCCCGGCTCAGGAGCACCGGAAACGCACATGCGCACATCACGACATCATGATCACGTCACACCGTTGCGCGCGCTACAACCTCCGCAGCCCCGCGCCCTCCCCTGGCCCAGTGTACACACCACGCACGCGCACGCCCCACCCACGGCCAAGCGCAGGCACCGCCCGCTCGGCGCCCGCACACTTGCGGGGCTCGCGTTGCCAAGCTCGGCCCGGTCCCCTTCTCCTGACAGAGATGTCCATCCCGCCGTCCCTTCAGCACCGGAGGCGCCGCGGATGCTGGGGCCCCGCCGCGGGGTCGGGGGGCTCCTCCCCACCGCCAGGCGCCGGC